CTTGTGTAAATTTTGAAGACACAGAGATTTTGATACATTCTATTTCTCGAGCACTTGGAAAAGTCCTTGTTATACTACATATGCCAAAAGTACGTTATTATATAACAACACATTTTTATTATTGTTATTGTTTACAGTGGTGAGTGTTGAATCCAAGGCCATACGCATGTTAGGCAAGTGCTCTAAAACTACTGAGCTACATTTCTATCCCAACAAATACATTATTTATTGAGTCATGTATTGCTGAAAAATAATATTGCTGAAAAAATAACTCTCCCACTTGAACTGCAAATTGATGCTTATAAATAACCAGGGAGTTAGACAACAGTTACAAGATTATTTTCTACTCAATAAGTGCATGTATAGCAGTGAGAAATATATCTTGAACTCTTTTGGTTGCAAGTGATAGGAATCCATTTCAAAATTCTTTTTTTTTCTTTTTTGTCGGTCGTGGGGCTTGAACAATGGGCCTGGGCGCTGTCCCTGCGCTCTTCAGCTCAAGGTGAGTGCTCTACCACTTGAGCCACAACACAACTTTTGGTTTTCTAGTGGTTTTATTGGAGATAAGTGTCTCACTGTTTTTTCTGCCCGGGCTGGCTTTGAACCACGACCCTCAGATCTCAGCCTCCTGAGTGGCTAGGATTACAGATGTGAGCCACTGATGCCCTGCTATTCAAAAAATCTTAAGGGGAGAAAAAGGAAGATTTACTTAAAACAGCTCAGAAGTAAAGCCTGATCAAAGTTCTATGAATGTAAGGGTCTTCCAGTTGTCTTGAGAACTTACTGATTTCTTCCTTCATCACTAAGCTCTGCTTTCTTCTGAAATAGATTTTGCCTTGGGCTGGTATTTGCCTCCTTATACCCCTGGAAGCTTCAGCCTCAGAGTCTTGCAGTTGACAGAGAGCCCAGAATCTGCTCTGGCCTGGTGTGGGTTACATGCCCTGTGGCTGGGGAATGTGGTGTTCTCATTGCTTTGGCCCGGGCCACAGGCCACTTGTACAGCCTCTAAACCACTTGTACTGAGAATGGGGATATGAAAAGACAAATTTAATTATAGAAGTGTACCAAACCTGTTTGTGTAAATTAATAGAATAGCTAGTATCAGTAGTATAGTAGTCTGACCCCTAGTGGTGACATTATGAGGAGACCATTCTGCATTAGTCCAAAGCCAACAAAACTTTCCCATTTTATTTTCCAATTATCTTCTCTCAGTTCATTTAAGAACATTGGCATCCTTCTCTTTGATCTTCTACATTGAAGCATTCATTCACTCTTAACAGATTTTTTTAAAAATTTTATTTATTTATTTAGTTTTTTGGTCCAGTCGTGGGGCCTGAACTTTGGGCCTGGGCGCTGTCCCTCAGCTCTTCACCTCAAGACTAGCGCTCTACCACTTGAGCCACAGCCCCACTTCCAGCTTTTTTTTCCTGCTTATGTGGTGCTGAGGAATCGAACCCAGGGCCTCATGGATGCAAGGCAAGCACTCTACCACTGAGCCACCTTCCCAGCCCTCTTAACAGATTTTTAAAAAATAGATACAATATTTCTTCTTTTTTTCTTTCTTCTTGGATTTATTCAACACCTTAAATATCTTCCTAAGAATGTATGGAGACATAACAATAAAATCCAGCAGTACCCCTCCCCCAAAATAGTATAAGCTAGTAAATAAGCTAATAATAATAAAAATATAACAAATATAAACAATTGTTGTATAATAAATTATTATATAATATAAAATATAAACATAAATGTTATATAATAAATATAATGATAATAATAATAAATAAGCTAATAAGCCAGATGAGTAAATTTTTCATTAGGTTAAATCTAAATCCCTAGATATAGTATGACACATGTTGCTTAAGAAATAGAGTTGGATTTTATCATATGCAATACAAAGCTAATATAAATCACAATACATTTGCCTAATGAATGGTGACTTATTGAACTTTAAAAATTAAGAGAATTCATTACTTGCCTTTTTCATCTAATATAAGAAATAGATTAATCAGTTTTTAAATCTTGTTCTATTACATTTATCTGTTATTTTACATCAAGGCTTAGATGAACACTTGCTACCCACTTTGTAGGAATGAATTAAACTCATAAATCATTTCTCATTAAAGGATATTGATTGATATAAATTTGAAGGCACAATGGTTCATTGCTCAGATTATAAGTGAAGTGTAAACATGCTCCTGAAGTTTTACATTTTATTGTATCTTTTATTATACACTGATGATATTATGCGTTATCTAACTTGATTATTGTCTGCATTTTATTCAGTTTTCTTTAATTAATGAAGACTAATAAAAGGTGAGTCACTCGATATAGATTTGATTCCACATTTTTCTAGAGGATCATATCTATATATTTATATAACATATTTGTAGTTGTAGGACTGTCTGATGGGATGAGAGGGGAGAGGAGAGCATGTCAGTGGGTAAACAACTGAAATACAGTGTCCCTGTGAGTGAGGTTATTAAAACTCACTGAAAGCTCTTGAATAAGAGTGAACAAGAGGGCTGGGAAGGTGGCTCAGTGGTAGAGTGCTTGCCTTGCATGCATGAGGCCCTGGGTTCAATTCCTCAGCACCATATAAGCAGAAAAAGCTGGAAGTGGCACTGTAGAGTGCTAGCCTTGAGCTGAAGAGCTGAGGGACAGCATCCAGGCCCAGAGTTGGGTCCCATGACCAGCAAAAACAAAACATAATTAACAAACAGATAAAAACCCCAGAGAACAAGAAGGATGGTTCGAGTGAAAGTAAATGAGGAGCTCAATCTGAGTACTACATATATATATATGTGTATATATATATATATATATGTATATGTATATATATATGGAAACCCTTGAACAATTAGCATACACTTAAAAAAGTGAATGACAGGTATGTAGAACAGATGTCATCCTGGGAATGGGCACTCATGGGAACAAGGAAAATGAAAAGAGCAATGGTGGTAAAAATATTTTACAGGCATGTATGAAAATATAGCAATGAAGCTTGTTGAAATTGGGTTGGAGAAAAGGGAAAGGGAAAGGGAATACTAACTGATGATAATCAGGAAAGGCCTCTTTCATGAGAATAATCTATTCAGATATTTTCATTATACCTAGTGTATTCAAGATCAAGTTTAATGTCCATATTTTACCATGCAGGGTTTACCTTGCACCTCCCTCTCCAGCAGACCTCTCCTATCATTTGCTTTCACTTGTATTGATTTTATAACATACAATACTTCACAGTTTCTGGCCTCCATGAATTTTCTTTCACTTTCCTCTGCCTGGAACCAGTCCAGCCATTTTCCTTACTTCACTCTGTATGTTCATCTCCCACAATAATTGCTATTTTCTACTCAAGCCTGAAATCACAGTCTCCAGTGTCCTTTTCTTTGTCTCTAATTCTGGTGGGTGTCTAGAACAGCGCTTGTGTAATAGGATGCACATCCATTTCTTTCTTTCTCTGTGCCTTACTACTGGGGCTTGAACTCAGGGTCTGAGAATTGTCCTCAAGGCTAGCAGTCTACCTACTTGCGCCACAGCTCCACTTCTGGCTACATTGGCTTCATGGACTTTTCTACCTAGGCTGGCTTCAAACCACAGTCCTCAGATCTCAGCCTCCCTCAGATTACAGGTGACAATCACTAACGCCTGGCTCAGTAATTTTTATTAAAAAACTGAATTTAGCCGGGCGCTGATTGCTCCTGCCTGTAATCCTAGCTACTCAGGAGGCTAAGATCTGAGGATCGTGGTTCAAAGGCAGCCCGGGCAGGAAAGTTCTTGAGACTCTTATTTCCAATTAACCACCAGGAAACCGGAAGTAGCACTATGGCTCAAGTAGTAGAGCGCTCTCCTTGAGATGAAGAGCTGAGGGACAGTGCCCAGGCCCATAGTTCAAGCCCCAGGACTGACACAGAAAACAAAACAAACAAACCAAAAACAAGAAACCGAACTTAACTATATTCCGGAGAAAAGCAGTAGTCATTAATTGAAGGAATGCTTAGGGAAGGGGGTACATTCACAGTTATGTGCCAGGCTGTGGGATTGCAACCAAGAATATAATATGTAGTATCTATTTTTATGTGGTGAAAAAAAAAAAGGGACAAAGAGAAAACACAACTGTAGATCTGTTGAGCAAGGACTGCAGTGGATCCTGGGTCCTGGATTGTCTGATGGGCATGGATGAGTAGAGAAAAAGGTGCCATTCAAATGGAGGACTATTAGGAGGAGATACTTTCCCAAGATAAGGCAGTTATGCTCAACCATGGTGATACCCAAGACAGGGCATAGAATGCATGATTCAGGATCACTGTTCATAGCATGTGGCCTCCCACTTTTTGAGCTGGAGATGTTCTTCTGATGAACATAATTCAAGTTCAGTGTCTTGGGAAAAGAATGAGAAAGGCAGATAACAAATGTAAAGCAACCGAATCAGAATTAATATACAACATGGAAGTTCTTCTCTTCATCCGTGGCTACTAAACTGCTTTCTAAGCATTCAAAAGTAGCCTGTCCATCAATAAAACAAAATCTAAAACAAGTATCTCCCCAATTCGCTTCATGCTAAATGATTTATATTGCACTTAATATGCCAATGGATTTGGAAATAAGTACTATGTTGTGCAAAGAGCAATCTTTGTGAACATTAGATGGAGCTCGGTGAGGAATCAGTTTTGGTCAGAGTAACTTCCTGCAGGTAATTTAAACTTTCAAGTCACTCAGGCAAAGTAGGCATAGTCATCATAAATGCGTCGTGGGTAATGGGTATATGAAGCGCTTAGCACAGTCCCCTTCTCCCCCCGGCCCATTGTAAGAGCTCAGCAGAAGTTATCAATTGAGCGCGTCTAAGAATGCGCAGATCTCGAGATGGATCTCCAGCCTGGCAACCAAAGGAACTGGAATCCGTCCTAAAGGAAGTCCCGTCCGCACTCGCGTTTCCGGTAATGACGCAGTTTGGTCTATGCCGGCTCCCGTCGGCGTGCCTGCGTCAACGAACACCGCGGCGACGTAAGTGTCATGGCGCGCCCCATCTGAGGTCTGTGCGCTTTCCCGACAGCAACGTGTGGATTTCTTCCGCTGTGGCCAGGTTGGTTGTTTCCTGACAGCTGGGTGAGAGTGGCGGGTGGGTCAGGGTGGGCCAAGACTGTGGACGGAGCTCCTTGGCCGTGCAGTTCCCGAGCGTTTGCTTTCGGGCGGCGTGGGCCTCGGGGCGCGGGCCGGCCGGGGCCTCGGGTGCGCTCGTCCCCGGAGGCAGCTTTTCTTGGTTGGGGACCGACCCTGCAGCGCGCCGAGGCCTTGTGCTCCGTCAGGGCCGGCCTCTCGCCTCTTCTCCTTTACTCATCAATCCTCATTCTGAGTCTAGGAGCAGTAAGTTTGTGTGTTTTTCTTCCTGGTAGAGGGTGCTTTGGTACTTAACTCGGTACCTTGTTCCCGCTGTGTACTTGGTTACTTGCATTACTGTGTGGTGTAGGATAAAACGTGCTCTGTGTGTGTGTGTGTGTGTTTAAACGATAGCCATACACCTGCAGCAATCAGCAAGAAGTTAGAAGGACATAACCCTACCCTGTGAAAGCAGTCTTTCATGGAGTTTCAGTTCTCATTAGGTAGTTTTAAAGATTCCTTACAGAGGTAGGGTGTGTGTGTGTGTGTGTATGTGTGTGTGTTTCCTTACAGAGGTAGGGTGTGTATGTGTGTGTGTGTTAGAAGGACATAACTCTACTCTGTGAAAGCAGTCTTTCATGGAGTTTCAGTTCTCATTAGGTAGTTTTAAAGATTCCTTACAGAGGTAGGGTGTGTGTGTGTGTGTGTGTGTACATGTGTGTGTACGTGTGTGTGGTGTGTGTACGTGTGTGCACACTGGGTGTTTGTATATTCGAATCAGTATTTTATTTCCAGAGTCGTCTTTGGAGAGGACCTGAGACCAATTGCAGATCATTCAAGGTACTGATTTATTTTAAGCCTTTTGTGTCTGACTAGAATGTTACACACCAGAATGTGCAGAGAGTCTAAGTTCTTAGTTAGTAATTCGCTATTATCGTTTCGTGGTACTGCTATGATCTCCATTTTAGTAAATCCAAGGGACATATCAATATCCTTTATGTAATCTTTCACTTGATGCAGCAGCAGCAATGACACGTACATTTCTTCCACAGACTTTTTTTTTTAATTCCTTGATCCATGTATTTTCTTCTTTGGTGGCTGCTGCTTGGTCTTCATTTTAGACCATTTCTATGTGTGACACTTATATTTCAAGTCCTTAAGGGTTGCTTTTATACCTCTTCTAACTCTGTTCTTTCACTTTCAATACTGCAATTCATTTTTTGTCAACACTTTTTCTTGGTTCTAGTCATCTCAATGTGAAAACCTTGTGGTTTTGATTTGCCTTTCCCCCATGGCTAATTATATTGGCACCTTTTCATAATAGGCTTATCAATCATTTGTATATTGTTTTTGGTTAATGTCTTTGGGATTGTTTGTGTTTTTGATTCATTCCAGACTTAGTTTTTGTCAGTAGGTCTTGAACTCAAGCCTTGTGTTTTCACTCAGGTTTATTCAGTTTTATTCACCTACAGCTGTTCCTCTCCACTTGGATCATGCCTCCAGTTCCTGCTTTTTGCAGAATATCTGATTCACTATGTCTGGTAGGGGCCCATGAGTTTATTTCCAACAGGTTGCACATGATGCTGTTATTTTGGGAACTGTACTGTGAAAACTAATGTAGGACATTGGTTTGTTCTTGTGGTTACACATGAGCATTACTGGGAAATTTAAAAAAAGATATTGATACCCAGGTTCTATTTTCAGAGATTGACCAACTGGCTGCTGGGAGTCTTCCTTTTTTCTTCCCTCCCTTTCTCCCTCTGTGTTGGAAATTTAATCTAGTTGTTAGTAATTTTTGAAAACCTTCTCTGGTGACCAGCTCAGGTGGTCCAGCACGCAGAGAAGGAGTTCTCCTGCTAGGAGTTATCACAGGCATGCACCCAGTAAGAAATGTATTTTAATTAGGAATGTTCAGTAGCATCACCTGGCCTGCCTCTCCCTCTCCCCTTCCCTCTACCCTCTCCCCTTCTCCTCTTCTATTCTTCTTCTCCTCTTCCCCTCTCCCTCCCTCCCTTCTCTTTCTCTCTCCCATCTCTCTCCTTTGCTTCCTCTCTCCTTTCTCTTCCCTTCCTTTCACCTCTCCCCCTCTCTGTTTTCCATCCCTCCCTTCCTTTCTCCCTCCCTCTCTCCTTCCCATTCTCTTTGTGTTGAAGATTAATCTCACCACCCCAAGGATGGTAAGCACATGTCCTCCCACTAAGCTACAACTGTAGTCTCCTCTCCTGGAGAGATTTTAATTTAGAATGGAATCTAGTTATTTGGTATTATGAAAGCTCTCCTAGTAACCAAGTAATTTTTTCTGTGATATACAGCATCCTTTTCCCCCTCATTTTCGATATTTTTCTTTTCATTGTTTTTATTCCCTTTATTAAACTTTAGTTCTGCCATCTTTGAGAAAAATTTGACATTGTCTGTTGCCTTCTTTACCACTTTGCCTTCCATTTCTAAACTTTCATGTTCATGTTACTTGAGCATTTCTGAAGGTATAAAAACTCACTTATTTGTACTGTTGAGTGAGATTATAGGTGCTTATTATATTCAGTCAGGTTTAAAAACTTCTGCATTACATTTATCTTCTTTGTCTCCTTACATGAATTTCTAGAACTCAGATTTTTGGATCTGAGGATATTCATGATTTGAAGTTTGAAATGTTTTGTCAGGTTGCTTTTTAGAAATGGTGTGTCAGACTTACTGTGATTCAGATAAACAGTTTTTTTTTTTTGTTTTTGTTTTTGTTTTTTGGTGCCAGTTTGAGGTATGAACTCAGGGCCTGGGTGCTATTCTTGAGTTTTAGTACTCAGGCTATCATGTGAGCCACAGATGCACTTCCAAAATTTGGTGGTTAATTGGAAATACAACTCTCATGGACTTTTATCCCCTGGCTGGCTTTATACCATGATCCTTATATCTCAGCCCCCCTGAGAAGCTAGGATTATATGACATAATTATCAGTGCTTGGCAATAGTAGAGTTTTTGTCAGTCTTGATGAAAAATACATCTTATCATTTTAGTACTTCAGTACTTCCTAATTATATGTTTGGACATTCTTTCATTTTTAAAATACTGTATTTCTTAATTAAATTGCTTGTTTTTCTTTATTCATTCAATTCTGTTTCTTGTTTGGTTATAAGTGTTATATTATGTGTTGGAATTTTGCCACTCAGGCAGAAGTATGGGTGGGTACAGGATCACCTTAGTTTTTTTTTTTTTTTATTTCCTTAGTTCTAATTCTAGCTTTGTCAGTGAATAAATCCTTTAGATTCTCTGGAGTTTAGTTCTTTATAGTTAAGGAGCATAACAGCATTCTTTTCCTTCCTACCTCTGTAATGGTGTGTATCTACTGCAGGACTTTTTTTTTTTTGTCAGTCGTGGGCCTTGAACTCTGGGCCTGAGCGCTGTCCCTCAGCTCTTCAGCTCCAGGCCAGCGCTACAGCGCCACTTCCAGGACTTTTTTTTTTTTAAATTTTAATTTAATTTTATTTTATTTGTGAACATACTGTACAGAGGGGTTACAATTGCATGGGCAGGATAATGCGTACATTTCTTACCAAGCATTGTAGCCTCCTCCTTTGTTTACCCTTCACATCCCTTCCCAGCCTCCCCCCTCCCCCCCAATCCCAATCCTTCTCCTTCCCCCCTCCCCCCCCTGCACCGACGTTGTAAAGCTCGTTTTGGACATGACAACTTGTACTTCTCATTGTTGCAACAGGTCCACTTGTATCCTTAAACAACTGGTTTTTCCCCATCTCCTCCACAAGTTATACTGACATCAAATATAGTGAAAGCAGGGGTTATACTGTGGGGGAGGGACATACAAAGCAACAAAGAGATAATCTTATAAATGCGTTAGAAACACATGCATGAAAGAAAAAAAAACATTGAAATACATATCTAAAGGTTCATTTTCCTGACATCACATTATTTGACCTTTTCTGCTTGACTCATACATATACTAGATATTGCAAATAAGGGAAACCATGGGACCTATGTTTGTTTGGCCCTATTTTAGTATAGGTCCAGGTTTTTTTTTTTTATTTTTTTTTGGGTCCAGTCCTGGGGCCTGGGCGCTGTCCTTCAGCTCTTTAGCTCAAGGCTAGTGCTCTACCACTTGAGCTACAGCATCACTTCCGGCTTTTTTTCTTTTTGCTTATGTGGTGCTGAGGAATCGAACCCAGGGCCTCAGGCATGCAAGGCAAACGCTCTACCACTGAGCCACCTTCCCAGCCCCCCTTCCAGGACTTTTTTATCCCTCATGTCCCATCCTGTTTCTCTCCAGTGGCTCTGAGCAGTTGTGTATGGAATATAATAATTATGTAATTTTAGAAGAAAATATGACTTTACTTGTCATTTAATTCTTTGTAATTGTTAAGGAATGTTTAGTCTTTTTCTCACTTATTCCATAGAATAATAATAATAGGAGAAACCCAAGAGATTTGGTTTTTACTTTAGCTTCTTTTGCAGTGTAACTAGTGGGTATGTACTAGCAAGGAAGCCATGGGACTGAAAGGGGCCAGAGGTTGGACTAGTAGGAAATGGGTCAGAAGTAACAGGAGGCTGACTATATATGACCTTGATCATGTCTGTTGGGCATGGGCTTTTATTTTGAGATGAAGTACCATTGGAAGAGTTGCATCAGAAACTTGAGAGGTATCCTTGTCTTCTGTTCTGAAAATGGTGGGAAGCTCAGGGATTAAAATAATTCAGGCAAGAGTTGATCTTGGGTTGGATCATGAATGTAATAGCCAGGTGCCGGTGGTTCACATCTATAATCCTAGCTACCCAGCAGACTGAAATCTAAGGACTGTGGTTCGAAGCCATCTCTAGCAAGAAAGTCAGTGAGACCCTTATCTACACTTAACCACCAAAAAACCCAGAAGTGGAGTTGTGGCTCAAATTGTAGAGTGCTAGCCTTGAGCAAAAAAGCTTAGGACCTGAGTGTAAGTGCCAGGACTGACATCAAAACAAAAACACCCCCAAAAGCACCCTCCCTGCCAAGAACCCCAGTGTTATAGCAGGTATGGTCACAAAAAGTCTGAATAGATTTTTAAGAAAAATACAACAGAATTTTTTTCAAGTAAGTTTGTTTTTTTTTTTATTGTGAAAATACTGTATAGAGAGGTTATAATCACAAGAGCAAGGTAATGAGTACATTTCTTATCAAGCATTGTTGCCTTCTCCTTTGCTTTTCCCCTACCTTTCCTTTCCAATACAACAAAATTTTATAGTGGATTGGATTTAGGGTAAAGGACAAAATGGAGTTAGGAATGATTCAAGGACTTTTGGTCTCAGCAGGTTAGATTGCCTTTAAAAGAAATTGGGACTAGCTGGGTGGTGTACACATATACAATCCCAGTGCTTAAGAGGCTAAGGCCAAGATTTGAAATCAGCTGTCACTATATAGTAACACTGTATTACTAGCTATGCAGGGGGCTGAGATCTAATCAGTATTTGAAGCTGGCCCAGGATGGAAAGTCTGTGAGAGTCATCTTCAACAAACCAAAAACAAACAAACAAACAAAAAAACAACCCACCCTCCCCCCCTAAAAAAACAAAAATCCCACCCCAAAACGAAATGGAGCTATTATTCGGGTAGTAGAGTGCTATCCTTGTGCGAGAAATCTCAGGGACAGTGCCCAGGTCCTAAATTCAACCCAAGATTGGCACAAAAATAAAAAATAAAAATTGTTACTATTTTTAAGTAGTTGTACAGTGGGTTTCAATTCAGTGTCAGATCATGAGTGCAATGCATGCTGATCACTGACACCTCCATCATTCTCCATTTTTCTTAATTGTATCCTGTTTTTTTTAAATGTGTGTGTGAAAATTGCACTGAAGGGTTTCACTATGGAATTTCAGAATTGCATATATTGTGTTTTTCTCAGAATAACTCTTGTTTGCTTTTTCTTTTCTAATTTTTGCAAACTCCAATTGATCAGCAGCATTCATGGAAACCCTTTATGTCTTCATACATAGTTTCATTATATTACAAAGTTATTCACCTTTCCCCCCTTTTTTTGAATTGTATTTTTTTATTTTGTTTTTTATTTTCTAAAGAATGAGATCTAGGTCATGGCTCTGTCTCTTGCAGTTCTGTCTTATTACTTTAGCACTATGAAAAGCTATCTTTTCTCCACTGAATTGTTTTTATTCTTTTCTGAAAAATCAGTTGGATGTGTTTGACTATGTCAGTAACTTCTACCTACAATCCTAGCTACTTGGAAAGTGGTGATCAGGAGGACCATGATTCAAGGCCTAGACTCAATGAAGTGATAGCAAGACCCCATCTCAACTAATAAGAGCTGGGTGCAGTATCACATGCCTTTTATCCCAACTATAAAGTGTAAGTAGGAGGATCATAGTTCAAAGATAAACATGAGACCCTATTTGAAAAATGACTAAAGCAAAAAGCTTGCAGGTTCAAGTGGCAGAGTGATTGTCTAGTAAGTGCAAAGCCTTAAGTTTAAATTAAACCCCAGTACTGCCTGGAAAAAAAATTGTTTGGGCATGGTTATGTCAATCCATTTCTGGGTTTTCTGTTTTGTTGATTACTGTGTTTCTGTCTTAATACCACAGTCTTGATTATTTTAACTTGCCGATGAGTCTTAAAATTTGGCTCTTTAATTTCTTTTCAAAATTAATTTAGGTATTCTAGTTCCCTACTCTATATCCATTGTTTTCCACATCCTTTTTTTTTTTTTTTTGTCAGTCATGGGGCTTGAACTCTGGACCTGAGTGCTGTCCTTGTGCTTTTCAGCTCAAGGTAAATGCTCTACCACTTGAGCCACAGTGCTGCTTTCGGTTTTCTGGTGGTTAATTGGTGATAAGAGTCTCACAGACTTTCCTGCCTGGGCTGGCTTTGAACTGTGATCCTCAGGTCTCAGCCTCCTGAGTAGCTAGGATTACAGGCGTGAGCCACCAGCGGCTGGCCACATACCTTTTTTTTTTTTTTAAATATGTTTATAAAACATTTGCTAGGACTTTGATAGGAATTTTTCCAAGTTTGTGTATCAGTTTTTTTTTTTTTCTTTTCTCTCATGACAGTGTAGGACTTAACTTACCGGTGGATTGATTGGATTGAAAGTACATAGAATTTGCTTTTTGTGATTTTTAACCTTTGGGGTTTGCTGAGTTGCCTTATTAAAGAGTAGGAATCATGGATCCCCTCTTAGCTCTTGTGGTTTGCCAGTTAGACTACAGTGAATGTGTGTTTGTGTGTATGGGTGGGGATAGTTTACATGAAAGTTTTCTATTTGGGCTGGGAAGGTGGCTCAGTGGTAGAGCACTTGCCTTGCATGCATGAGGCACTGGGTTCGATTCCTCAACACCACATAAGCAAAAAGAAAAAAGCCGGAAGTGGTGCTGTGGCTCAAGTGGTAGAGCACTAGCTTTGAGCTGAAGAGCTGAGAGACAGCGCCCAGGCCCAGAGTTCAGGTCCCACGACCCCCCCCAAAAAAAAAAAAAAAAGAAAAAAGTTTTCTATCGGGGCTGGGAAGGTGGCTCAGCAGTAAAGTGTTTGCCTCTAATACATGAGGCCCTGGGTTCAATTCCTCAGCACCACATAAACAGAAAAGGCTGGAAGTGGCACTGTAGCTCAAGTGGTAGAGCTCTAACCTTGAGCTGAAGAGCTCATAGAAAGCGCCCAGGCCTAGAGTTCAAGCCTTACAACAGACCAAAAAAAAAAAAATGTTTTCTATCTTGCTAGGCTTCCTTTCTATTTTGACAAGAAAAGTGAATTTTGTCAGGATCTTTTATTGTCTACATTCATTGGCATTTTTATATTTCTGACATCTTCAAGTCCAGGTTTGGAGTTTAGGAGGCAAAAAAATCCCCATCATCATGCTCCTTGTGTTCTGAGTCCATAGCCAGTCTATCTTTTATTCATCTTCCAAAGTCATTTTTCAGTTGTTTTAGAGATAATGTCTGGAGTCATGGTTGGACTTGGTGGGAATAGGGAAGAATATCTCTGTATGTCTTTTCCTTGAAGCTGTGTTCACATTTTTCTTTTTAATTATAAAAATTTTGAATATTGGAGAAAGGATAATGAATGCTGAGTGTCTATTTATTAGTTTTATGAGTTGTCAGTGTTTTTCCATTTATCGGATTTTTTTCCCCTGGGGTGTTTCAAAATAAATTACTTGCATAATGATATTTCCTCTAAATATTCAATGTACATTGCTAAAAATAAAAATACTTCAGTTACTTATAATAGCCTCACATTCATTTTATAATCCAGTTCATATTCTAATTCTTTTTCCTGGTTCCCAACCTGTTACAGCTATTGTGACAGAGTAAGATCCAGTCAGGAATGTGAATCACCAAGTTGTTTGACTCCTTTAAAAAACAGATGATCAAGAATTCAAGAACAGAGGTCCATGCAGACTTCTTTTTGTCCGTGACAATTTCAATGCAAATCAATCTGAAGTAGTTCTTTATATTCCCAAATCACTTTGCACTCTGACGGATACTAGCTTTCTTCATCTGTTCAAAATCTTTCATGGAATTATAATTTGTATAGAAATCTGCTTTGTCTTCTTTCCTGGTATAGCAACAGCAAACTCACACAGAGCTTAATCCCCAGGGAGACAACAAATGCTCCAATAATATGAAATTGCAGTTGCTTGGTTGAAGGCTTTGTCAAAGCACTGGTAATTACTGTCGTGGTAATTACTGTCCTCAACACCTCACCACCAACATCCTTCCTAACTGATGAAGAGTTGTTAGACTTTTTAAGTTTCTTATAATCTCAAAAAGGTTCTATCCTACCTTCTTTCCTCATGGTTTTGATTTGCTGAACAGTTTGGATTTCTGAGTCTTGTGATACCTAGCAGAAGGACTTGACGTTAGTTCTTAAAGGCTTCTTGAGATCCAAGTTGGTGAGAATTTTTCATAGTTTTTTTTTTTTTTTTTTCCTGGTCTTGGGGCTTGAACTCAGGGCCTGGATATTGTCCCTGAGCTTCTTTGTGTTTAAGACTAGCACTCTACCACTTGAGCCACAGTGCTACTTCCAGTTTTTTTTTTGAGTAGTGTATTAGAGATAAGAGTCTCACAGAGTTTCCTGCCCCAGCTGGCTTCAAACTGTGATCCTCAGATCTCAGTCTCCTTAGTACCTAGGATTACAGGTACCCGGCTCATAGTCATTTTTAATATGGCTTTAATATACCTTTTTATGTGATAGAAAAAATGCCTTCTGCATCCTGCGATACACTCCTCGATGACATTGAAGATATTGTATCACAGGAAGACTCAAAACCACAAGATCGGCATTTTTCAAGAAAGCATGTTGTTCCCAAGGTGCGAAAGCGAAATACGCAAACGTATTTACAAGAAGAAAACAGTCCACCAAGTGATAGGTAAGTTTTCTCCTCAAAATTATGTTCAGTTTCATTCCAAAGCTGGCACTATTGGTCTGTGTGATTTGTATCCTGTCGCTTGGAATTATCAAACTTTTGTTAGGAAATAAACAGATTTAAAAATTTTATCAGTGCTTCTGTTTTGGTTGGTCCTGGGGTTTGAACTCAGTGCTGGGGTACTATCCCTGAACTTTTTTGCTCAAGGCTAGCATTCTACCATCTTAGGCCACAGCACTACTTCCAGTTTTCTAGTGATTAATTGGAGCTAAGAGTTTCACTGACTTTCCTGCCCAGGCTGACTTTGACCTCCTGAGTAGCTAGGATTACAGTTGTGAGCCACCAGTACCCAGCTTGCTTATATTAATGACTGAAGTTTATCACATTTGTCTCAAACATATTCTTAACATCTCTCTCCCTCCTTCCCTTCCTCCCTCCCTCCCTCCCTCCCTCCCTCTCTCCCTCCCTCCCTCCCTCCCTCCTTCCTTTTTTCCTTCCTTTCTCCCTTCCTTTCTTCCTTCCTCCCTCCTTCCCTCTTTCTCTTCCTTTTTTTCCCCTTCCCTCTCTTTCTCCCTTCCTTCCTTATTTTTTTCTTAGCATACATTAGTTGTATGAGTTATATAACTAGTTATACAACTATTAATTATATAACTGTTATATACATTAGTTATATAAGTTATAACAAGAGTATTTCACTATGATATTTCCATACATGAATATAATATATCCTGGTTAAATTCTCCCCCAAAGCAATTTCTATTTGCATACAAATTGTTAGGGGATTCAAGTTGAGAGTACATCTTTTTTTTCCCTAAAGATACATTTTTTTTTAAATTTTATTTTATTTGTGAACATGCTGTACAGAGGAGTTACAATTACATGGGCAGGATAATGCGTACATTTCTTACCAAGCATTGCAGCCTCCTCCTTTGTTTACCCTTCACATCCCTTCCCAGCCTCCCCCCTCCCCCCCAATCCCAATCCTTCTCCTTCCCCCCCTTCCCCCCTCCCCACCGACGTTGTAAAGCTCGTTTTGGACATGACAACTTGTACTTCTCATTGTTGCAACAGGTCCACCTGTATCCTTAAACAACTGGTTTTTCCCCATCTCCTCCACAAGTTATACTGACATCAAATATAGTGAAAGCAGGGGTTATACTGTGGGGGAGGGACATACAAAGCAACAAAGAGATAATCTTATAAATGCGTTAGAAACACATGCATGAAAGAAAAAAACATTAAAATACACATGTAACGATTCATTTTCCTGACCTTTCATTATCTGACCTTTTCCGCTTGACTCATATATATATATATATATACTAGATATTACAAATAAGGGAAACCATGGGACCCATCCTAAAGATACATTTTTTTAGAACTCCGTTTATAGACACATGCTTCAGTAACTTGGGATGACAGTTTTAATTTTGATTATTTTGTATTTGTGAATTTTAAAGTAGATACAGTTTACAGACATACAGTTTTTCTTTAGTTCTTAGATACTAGAACCATTTTCTTTCCTATTATTTTTGTGCATCTTTCCAGGAGTTGAATTATTGGTAGTATTATTGGTAGTAGGAGTTGAAGTTGAAATTCAATTCAGAGAACAAGAGAACAAGACTTTTTTTAAAAAAAAATTCAGTAGTTGTAATGAAGAGGTTTCAGTTCCATAAGTTAGATTATAAGTACAGTTATGTTGGTCAATGTCACCCCTTACAAATACTTTTATAGAGATTCTTAACTGTTTCTCATGCTATTTGTATTTTTTGATACAATAGCAGATTTTAAATTAAATTGGTATAGTTAATGAATAGCTTGTGAGTTGATTGTAGGTGTGTGTGTGTGTGTAAAATGTGCCCTATAATCTAGTGGCTTTTATTTTAAAAATCACTTAGTGAAACTTACTTTTTTAAATTGATTACTTAACAGCATTATTCCAGGCATCCAGAAAATTTGGATACGAACATGGGGTTGTTCACATAATAATTCAGATGGAGAATATATGGCTGGACAACTAGCTGCTTATGGCTATAAAATTACAGGTAATGAGATCTATAATGTATTTTATTGATTTTTTTTTTCAGAGTGAAATTTTACAGATAGGCCTTCTAGCTTTAGCAGTTGAACAGTGTTTCATTATAAATGATTTTAAAGCAAAACAGTGATCATTCCTAAAGATTACTTAGATAACTTTATTATTTTTCCACTCAATTTTATTTAACACCAGAAACACTACTGTGATAGACAAAATAATAATGCTCTAAAAATAACCATGTTCCAATTCCCAGAATCTGTAAAAAAAAAAAAAAAAAGTTACCTTATATGGCAAAAGGGATTTTTGCCATGTGGATAAATTAGAGATCCTAAGATGGGGCTCAACCTAGATTATTATTTTTTAAAATAATTTTTATTTTTATCTTTAGTTACATGTAGGGATTGCCACTCAACAAAGTAGCATATGAATACAATCAATCTTAGTGTCACCCCTTCAGCATTCTCAGCCATTCTTCCTAACTCCCACCCGCTCCCTCAGTTTTCTTAATTTTGTGGAATGTTACATTGAATTTTATGGCTGTATTCCTGCCTTTTGAATGTTGAAGTAAAGTTTGGAGTTCAGGGTCTCCAACTGGCTAGGCAGTTACTCTGCCTATCTGGCTAGGCAGTTAGTTACTCTGCCTCTTTGAACCACATTTCCAGCCCAAATACTTATTTCTATCATTTGTGTGTACATTAAATGGGACTGTAATTTGATTGCTTTGTAAGGAAATATTGGCATCTTTACTAGGAGGAAATACTGGCATCTTTACAGGTGAAAAAAGAAAAGTATGTCTCATCTTAAGTCACATAGGTAATAACATGTCACTCCCAAATACCACCGATGGTGTTTCTGTGCCTCATAGTTCTTGTGTAGGTGGCAAGTGCTGGCTACAAGATAGCATCTAGGGGCGAGCAAGGACTGACAGTGCATTCTTTCCCTTGCATTGTTTGTTAGTAACTAAAAGATCATATATGATTAATTTTGCATTATTGAATTGCTGCTGCTTCTGCTGCTTCCACTCCCCATCCTCTTTCCTTTCTGTTTTCCCACATCCTTCTCTTTACTCTCTTTTTCCTTCCTTCCTCTGTTTTTTGGGAGGGTCCGGTCGTGGGGCCTGAACTCTGGGCCTGGGCGCTGTCCCTCAGCTCTTCAGCTCAAGGCTAGCGCTCTGCCACTTGAGCCACAGCACCACTTCCAGCTTTTTTCTTTTTGCTTATGTAGTGCTGAGGAATTGAACCCAGGGCCTCAGGCATGCAAGGCAAGTGCTCTACCACTGAGCCAACTTCCCAGCCCCCCTTCCTTCCTTTCTTTTCTGAGGATTAAACTCAGGCCTTTCTGTGTTAGGTAAGCACTCTATCACCAAGCCACCTCACCAGCTTTATGACTTACTTTTTAGACAACAAAATCAGTCTCAAAACTTTTGTCTGTTAAGTTAAAAACACAAAGTGTGCTTTTAGAGTTACATATTCATCAGTACTTTTAGTATAATTTAACAAAGTAGTAAGTTTTCCTTAGTGATAATAAATAGTGAATACATTTCAGTTTAAATTGTCCATTAGTGGTTTGTGTTTAGCCTTTTATATCTATATCTATATATGTGCATGTGTACATATATATATATATATATATATATAAATGAAAGTTAAGCTTTAATAACAAAGTACTGTCAACTCTTCTTAACCCAATAATGAAATAAAGGTGGGATTTCCCAAGGTATTTGTTTATTTGATCACTTGAGAGATCACTGTAATTTATGTACAGCTGTGTTACATTTTCTGTGAATGAGTTATAGCATGTGCATTGTTGATATTGGAAAAAGTCACTCCCTAGGTCATTGACTGAGGTTCTGCTTATAAATACATGAAAATAATTTATGTCAGGTATATGAAGGATTTCTGGATAAGAATTTAGTGGTTTTTTTTGGTGCTCATAGTGTCAGAAAAGTCATTTAAAAGTTCTTGAGCTTTTAAAGTTCTTGATTGTTCCTTTCTATATTTGTATATAGTTTTTTTTCATTCAGCTAATCTCTTCTGAATATACTACTTATTACTGAGTAGTGTGCTAGGAGGTGTGAAGATAAAAGGAACTGACCATAGATTCCAAGATAAGAATTTTATTCTTTTGGCAAAGGCAAAGCCTTTATTCTTGGTTAATCTTACAAGCTGTTTTAGTAAAATGTTCAATAGCATTTTTTAATTTTTTTTATAATATAGAGGAAATAGGACTTGTTATATTTTAAGATTTTTTTATAATTTGTATTTTAGAAATGCTTTGCTATAGTATTAAATTAAGACATAGTGTCTTATGTTTGAATTAAGCAAATTAGTATCTCTGAAACAAATTGAGTGACTAAAATGTGTGGTCTAGTTCTTGGTTCTGGCCATTTAACTTGATACTTCTAAGTTATTGCAACTGGATCAGTGGGATATATTTAATTGATTTGTAGAAATGCTTGTTAAGAATACTTCTAAGGGGGGGGGCCCGTGGCTCATGCCTATAATCCTAGCTACGCAGGAGGCTGAGATCTGAGGATAATGGTTCAAAGCCAGCCTGGGCAGAAAAGTCCGTGAGACTCTGATCTCCAATAAACCACTAGAAAAAAAACTGGAAGTGGTGCTATGGCTCGAGGTAGAGCGCTTGCCTTGAGCTGAAGAGTACAGGGACAGTGCCCAGGCCCAGAGTTTAAGCCCCTGACCGAGGGGGAAAAAAAAGAAAAGACTACTTCTAAGGACTATGCTATCAATCAGAATTTGAAGGATATTAAAGCTACTTGTTTGGTTTTGGACTTCTGCTTAGGGAAATAATGTTTGTTGTACATAAATTACAAGTATGTATAAAGTTCTTAAAAACAACAACAACTGATATATTTGCCTGTTTTCTTATCTCAGTTTTAAGAATTGATGACTATGATGCTTCACACTGATATTCTTGAGTATACCTATATAATAAATTATAACAGGGTAGAGTAGATCAGTTTCTCCAAAATAGAACTAAATGAAAAATGTTAGGCTTCTATTGGGCAGGCTGATTCTAAGTGAAAACTGGGTTTTTGAGCACATTTTTAGAGAGAGGAAGTAAATTGTTTACAAATCCTAATGTGTGTTAGGCATTTTAGGTATGGTTTTATAAGGATTAAATAAAATAACTTGGTATGAGAATTTCTTATCAAGACTAGGAGAAGGGGGGTTGGAGGCATAGCTCAGCTGGTAGAGAGCCAGCCATTGAGTGAAAATGGTTAGCGACCTAGCTGACTATGAGATTAGATAGACCATGACTCAGACCAATTCACTCAACTAATATGTAGATACTGAGTTGACATTTAGACCAGAGTTTGTCAGAATAGTTGTCCGCAGCATGCAACATGTTGAATAATGACCATATTCACTTATCCTTCCTCTCTCCTTTTGTTTGTTCTCCCTTTACCTCCCCTCACTCCCAACAAACATGTAGCTCAGTTTGGGAATCTACTATCTTAATAGGTTCTCTTAGAAAATTTTTTGTAAACCTACATTTTGAAATATTTTTCCTTTTAAAAAGTCTTTATCTTTGACATTTACTAGTAGTAGCTTTTCATTATTGGAAGAGAAACAGAAGTTTTTACCACCTCAGTATGTACCATAAGAACAAGTTCAGCTTAGTCTTAATGCTGAGTCTGTAGTTGGAAGTAAATTATTTCTAGGTAACAAGTAGCAGTGTTAGCTGATCCATTTCTACCTCCTTAATCATAGATAACCCATGGAAAAATAAGTAGAAAAGTCTGGAATTTTAAATTCTTGAATCAGAAATTCAGTGAAAAGTTGTTCTTGGAACAGGAATGTAACTTGTTTCCATATCTCTCTCTCTTTTTTTTTTTTTAGTCACATACTTCTTTTTTTTAATTTAATTTTATTTTATTTGTGAACATACTGTACAGAGGGGTTACAATTGCATGGGCAGGATAATGCGTACATTTCTTACCAAGCATTGCAGCCTCCTCCTTTGTTTACCCTTCACATCCCTTCCCAGCCTCCCCCCTCCCCCCCAATCCCAATCCTTCTCCTTCCCCCCTCCACCCCCCATATATATCTCTTGACCTTTTGTTCTGTACCATGATTCTTTACATTTGTGTAGTGTTGTGTGGTTTGTAAAATACTTCTGCACTTATTACTAATTTTATATATTTGTGTCTGAAGATACAGGACTTTATTAACCTAAGCTTCTAAAAAGATTAGAAAATATTATGACATTTTAGTCTTTTTTATTTAAATTTCATTGTATGTACAAATAATGAGTATTTACATTGAGGTGTTAATAGTAATTGCCAGAGTTATTTTGCAGAAATTGTTTCTGTAGCCAAGGGTGACATCCTATAAGATTGTTAAATATATATATATATATATGGAATTACCTTGATACTGATTAATCTAGGGAGTGACTATGCTCTGATAGGTGGAGTTGAATCTTAGCATAATTCTAAAGTTCAGAAGGTAAAGAGAAAGAGTTATCTAGACACAAATCCTTTCACACATTAAAACAGGAACTAGATCTGTTGATCTCAAGATCATTTAACTTGTTGGTAATTTACTCTTTCAAACATTCCTTCGTGGTTATTATGGTAATGTTCTTATATTAAGTTATTTGTATGAAGTAAGAATATTCCAAATGATTCATACTTTCTATCATTTTTCCCACTATTATTTCTTGTGGAGAGTTGACAGTTTCATTCAAAACTGCCTGTGGGTACAAAAGATCTGACGGCCGAGGGATAATAGGAATGGGCATTATTTTCTAGAAGGTGCTTCCCAAGAAGAGTGAAGTACCAGGGTATGACAATGGCTAGTAGTAGATCACTAGCTGTGCTTTAAAAAAATTCTCTCTAACACTCAACGTTCAAGGAGGAAGATAAAAGTCTTAAAGATGTTTGGTAGCTTTCCTACTTTTCACCTTCCCAGACATCGAGTAGACCAATTAACAGTATTGGAATTTGGGGAGAGAGAGTACTTGGAGATATCTAAATATAAACCA